AGAAATGAAGCTTTTGTAATCTTCCAAGATATCAACGAGACGAAGGTAAGGCGGACCCTGCTATGATGTACAAAGGGAGAAGGCTTTCAAAAGAAGATCGCTTAGTATTGTATCCCTCCTTGTTCCTCGACTCAATCAGAAGGTATAATTCCAAGACGCATCAAAGGCGCACAGACTGAACACATGAACCATGGCATGCTTTGCAAATGAATATAGAGCGATGGTAAATAATGACCTCATTCCGTCAGATCTGAAGCGTGGAAACATTTTGATAACATTCCATCCTCGCATAAGTTTGGAATGTTGAAAATGAGAAACGGTGAAGATTGGGTATGCTTTGTCTGAATGGGTTTGTTTCAAGCCGTCTTGGCCCAAGTCAGGAACAACTAATTTTCCATCGCATGGCCTAATCATTGTGACACATATATCTACCACCGACAATGTGTTGAAAGATGAATATATGGTTTTTCGTGTGTTATTGTTCTGGGCTACTAAATCAAAACATAAAATTTGATGTGTTCTGCAGCCCTTTGATGGGCCGAACTTAGAATTATTTTGGATATCGCGGGTTGAAACCATTCGGATATTTCGACTCAGAATTTCATAACTGCGTGGCTGCTTTGCTTTTGGACATCAGTGATTTGTCAAGCTTTTGGAATGTTATCTGGGTGGAGTACGGCCTGGCAAAATTGGGCTTGGTCCTCACTGCATGGAAAAACACTAATGCATTTAGCACTAAAGAATCGGAGGTAAACAATTGTTGGTTTTGATTCATCATCGCAAATTCTTACCAGAAATTCTCACCCTTGGAGGAGAAATCGACAAATGCTTTAAAAGAACACGACTATTGTTGAACCCCCTCCACCTGTGGAAGTCCTGGATCACAAATATTACAGAATTGGGAAGATCTGGGCTTATGAAAGTTACAGAGGATGGTCAGATGAGGTAAATACAAGAATTGGCAGGAATAGCCGGGTGGAAAAAGCGAACGCATCTTCTGGGAGTTTGCCATACTGGAGTTTCACTTCTTATCCGTCATAACCTTGATGTCAATGCACATAGAAAAAAATAGTGGTTTGAAAATCTGTTCAAACACCTGTCATGAACATTGAAAGGGAAAACAAGGACAATGCCAAAGCGAGAGCAGACATGAAGGAAATTTTGTTCGTCGACCAGAACTCGAAGCAATCTGTACTTACTGGTAAAGTTTTACCGAGGCATGTTATTGGTTTAGATAAACCCAAAAGCAATTATTGTGGCGAATGGTTACGATCATTACAGAATTTCAGATGGCTACTGTTCAAGATAATGGGTAGAATGTGTGGACATCGAGGAAGTACAGACCTGTTTGGCAATGAACAAGCCCATGACTCGCCATGTTTTCATGCAAAGATTGAT